CGGTGTAAAACCAAATAACTTGTCTCGTGTCCTCTAGTTAACACTGGCTGCTGAAGTGTTTTAACTAGTAGTACCGTGGGTGTGATTAGTTCTGAGGTGAACTTTCTGTCTCTCTCTCATCCCATCCCATTGATATTTTATTATTAGAACTCAAACAATGTTCCGTTTTCTTTTCCGGAAAGAGAAGAACAAACACAGACCATGAGCAACCAGCGTGTCCACAAGTTCATTGGATACTGTACGGGTTGCCGATGGTGCACACGGAAGGGGTACCCTTGCGACCGATTCTGGATATGTGCAATTCACCGTACTATGCACTTGCAAAGTGGTTGGCTAAATTACTAGATTCCGTTAGAATTGCACTACCGAAACACAGCGTACGAGACGCATTCATCTTTGTGAACAGCATTTGTGACTTAAACTTGATGGGTCGGATGATGCTTTCACTGGACGTTAGTTTGTTCCAATCAACGAAACCATGGAATACCTGTGTAGTTATGTACAAAGTAAGGTCTTCCTTTGGAAGACCTAAAACAACTCCTTCATTTTTTCACATGCAACGTCCAATTCAAGTTCAACGACCAGATTTACCGGCATAAAGATGATGTGGTCATGGGATCACCTCTAGGACCATTTTTGTCGATGGCAAAACAAGAAAATAACCAACTCAAATCTTTCATTCAGCAATGTGTGTTGTATGCACGATATGTGGATGATATTCTGTGCGTGATTAATACAAAATCAGGAACAAAGGAGCTTTTGAGCAAGTTCAGTGCTGCTCATCAGAACATAAGATTCTCTTTAGAAATGGAAAACAATAACAAACTGGCATTTCTAGACGTCTGTCTGAGTCGTAGATCCGATGGCTCCGAGCAACTATTTGTGCAAAGGAATGCGGCTTGGAAGGACCAGTATATTCATTTTGCAGCTTTGTTCCGCTCAAAGTGAAGACAAGTTCGGGGCGCCTAGCAGACAGAGCAAGGAAAATTTGTAGTGAGGATACAATAGAAGAGCTCCGGTTCTTACGAATTATCTTCACACACAATGGTTATCCAGAACGACTGGTTAGCAAGATGATTCAGTGCAGTGAAAATACTGTGAAGAGGACCGAGGTCAGAAAGAAGGCGGTATACGCTGTCTTGCATTTCAAGGGGGATACATCAGCAGAGATGATACGAAGAAGACTATTCGATGCTGTTTGTAAAACCTTCTACGTAGCAAAACTTAATGTTTTGTTCAGGTCCTAGCCAATTGTGTGTTCACGACTAAAAGACAAAATGCCGGATTCTGCCGTCTCATTTTATATGTACTCATATACATTTTTTTGTGGAACAACGTACATAGATCACACGGTCAGGCATTTGTTCGAATGAATCCGTGACCACCACCCCGCATGGCTAAATACGGGAACGATTAAGTCACTCACTAGTGCAGTGATTTCACACCTAGTTGAACCAAATCAGACTGTGAATATGACTGAAGCATTCCGTCCCTTCTACCTGGTTCGTGGTGGACTATCAACACTGGTTCAATGTCCTATGCTGGCCACAGGGGAGCGGTAGGAATTCGGCTGCACAACCCCCCTTTGTGGGCCCAAAGACCATTTGTGCAGGCGTTTAAGCTCCCCTGTCCCACTCCGCACACCCCATAACACGAGTGGTTCCAACGATAGGATAACCTAACAATTATGTGATCATTGAGGATCCCATGTCTGGTCCTAAGACAAAATTAGCCCCAGTTAAACTATGATATTATTTTTCATTTCCCCAAACAACTGATTGATTTTTTTTTCAAATAAACAACGTGATATTTATTGTGATGTATTTGGCATGACTAGGAATTACTGAAAACGAGCTTGTTCGCCACACCTTGTTCTACTTGAAATGTGTTCTAGGGGACTGTTTAGACAAAATCATGGTTGTTGCTGCTATATTCCGTAACCTTAAATTTGCAGATCTTCGATTTATGTGCATTTGTGTTCGAAAAAAGACTGTTATCCCCTGGGGAAGTTTGAGCTAATAATAGGTTGGCGAGTGTCATCTCTACGGGCTGTTATTTTTTATCTGGAACTGCGTTCCTTGGCACTCCGATAGCGCAATTGGAGGCGGACAACCGTGTTTCATTATGTTTCTCGCTGTGTGACAGTATTACCTGTACTGTGTCCTTCCTATTTTTGTTACTGTTACAATTTGTTTCGTGTTTGCAGTAGAAGTAGTTGCGCCTGTTGTTATCACAGTGGCAGCAGTAATCATTGTGACAGCTGGGCCTGCCGTATGCATCACGTGAATTGTCTTCCACCACCTTGTTTTTGTCATTATTTGTTCCGATGATTTGTTTGATGGTGATGGCTGTCATTGTTGACGTTTGTGCCACATTTTACTTCATTTTATTTTTTTCAAATTAGAACCTCTCTATTCATCCATGGAAATTACCAGGCGAATTTGGCACCAAAGATCTTCCCTGTTTTGTCCCAATCACATGTTTTGGAATCGCAACATTTGGCACACATGATCACGTGTGTGTGAATTAGTGCGCTGGAAGACAAATGGTTCATCCACAGTAGTATGTCAAACTAATGGAGTTTCAGAACTTGAATGTTATTCTCGAATTAGCCACAGAATACACTGGTATTATTCCAGCTACCGGGCAGAGAAGGAAAGAAAGACATTGACCTGGTAACTGGCGCTCAAACGCGTTTTTAAATAATTGCTAAAAAACTAAGTGTGGATTTGCTTACTGTAATGGTGACGCTAGGTCACGCAGTTTCGAATAACTCCAAAGTCTCGATTAAAGTGAAAACACCGGCACTTACAACTGGGACTGAATTTGATAAATCTGCAGCTTTTAAAAGTTTAAAGCAAAAATCTGTATGGAGAATGTGTTACTATGTCACGTTTAGTCTCAGAGGATTTAAGGAATACCAAACGTATATACTAACACTATCGAATGACTCATGCAACGGTGAAATGGAGTAAGAGTATTTTTAATTATCCCACTCGCAGACTCCAATTCTCTGTTAAAAGTTCAACTCAATCGGTTTGTCCTTTTCCGCAAATACTGTATTGCAGCATTAATCACATTCATTCATTTAGTGGTCGATTGAATGCAACCTTAGGCCTGTCGTTAATCCCTTAGTAAATTGTACGTTAGTTGAATTTGAATTGGACGTAAGGCCAAAGGTTAGATGCAATATATTTTGTTATTATTACCTAGCTGGTTGATTACGTTGAAACACTAGACTGGCACATGGATAAGAATATGCGGAGGGGAATGAATGTATGACCGTAGACACCCTCCCCAGCGGTAGAGTGGGAACATGAGTAATATCATAATTTCAAATTCACATAGAGAGTTTCGTAATATTTTCACAGCCATGCCGATGAGAGACATCCAATGTATACACGATAGGCAGGATTAACGATAACCAAACCCTCGCATTAGATTATTCAATTATGTGTTAATGACCTATCACCAGTTCGAGAAGAACTGGAAAATGAGATCGAAATCGGATACCGGTTTTAAGCATGTTATTGGTTCAATCTAAGGGAATTATACAGACACACGATTGTGAAATGTTTTCCCTCTCGGAAGAGGTTCATTCGATTATTCATTTGCACGTGCTGAGATTGTCAATTAGTGTGAAACAATAGTCAGCTGGTAGGTCCCCAAAATCCGAATCAGCAGGAGATTTGAAAAATCGGTAACATATATGATCCAGATAGTCATGTACGCAGTTGTTAGCCACTGACCCTGTAGACCAGTGGCAACGTTTTCTTCTCCCAGACCGTAGCTCTGTGATTTGAGTCATACCAGGAACACAAACATTGTACACACTTCTGTAAAGTCTCAACAACTACGAAACAACGGTCCAGTGCTTAGTGTTGACCTCCATCCACAATACCATACAGACATCGGCTTTTCTCAACGCTAACCTTTGGTTGCTATTATCTTTCTGGAGTGATCCCATAATAATTCTCTCTCCATCGTTATTTTTAACAGGAATTCGCTAGATTTTGAGTAAACAGTTGGGGAATGAGGATCGGTGTGTTTTTAAAGACATTTCTCAAACAAAAGAACCCGACGAGCGTGCCTAAAAATCAATCAACCTGTTGTATCCAAACAAATTTTGGCCCCGTAGATCCATATTTCCCAATCAATCGGAGCATCCTCTGGATCAGAGAGTGAATCATTCTCTGATAAGATCCACCGCTTCGAACGACAGAGACAGATGAGCGCTGTATCAGGCAGGTAGGGTTGACACCTGATAAGAAGCTGACTGTCTATAGGACTAGTCAGATTAGCAGCCTCTTCTGCCCGGGGTTGAATCCCGATGGATTCAGTGCATATAGTCTGCTGATGATTTCCAACATGGATGAAACCTCTAACTAGTGCTTCAAGACTTTTAACTAGTGAGCAGCACTAGTTAGGTAGATATATTTTACAAAATGCACACAAAAGTGATTTGTATGAACCAAACGTTCTCCGTTGTTAAGGAGGAAAAGAATAGGCCTCGGAAAGAGTAATTCGCACCTTCCGAGTAAGCAACTGAAAATCGAAATACATGAAGATAATTTTCGTTTCATTTTGAAAGAATAAACAAACACATGAATGTTTCTTGTCGAAACAACTGAGTCAGCTTCTGTGAGATTTATGTGGCAGACAGGAGAAACGTTTACGAAGGCTATAGTTTTCTGATCTATAGTACTGTTTGATCTTTCGATAAAAAAAATTGGTTAGTTGATTCATTCATTTATTTTAGTTAAATGGACCTCTGTTTTCGGTCGAATGAAGCAAACTTAAAAGTGTGAATGAGAACAACACTACATCATTCATAACCAGTTTATATTCAACAGTTATTGTGTGGTATGACAAACAGCTATCATTCGTCGTGTCACTGTTTCCTGGGTAAAATAGGAGTCCCCGAGATTTTTTTCCTAAGCCAAGATGTCCTTTGCCATCATACATTTACAGCTCTTTCTCATATCCTGTTGCACTTTTAGGCTGACCTGATGGCCGATCAAGAAGTCAGCGAGTTGGATCCGACTTCGGAAAAGACCACACGAGATAAACCCTCAGATATGAGTGTCCAAGCCCAACCACTACACAGCAATATGCGATCTCTGTTTGCAGCCTACCAATGCTTTCCTACCAATCCGCATATTGTATTTCGAACAGAGCCGCTTCCCCTGGAAGCCGCATTGGCCCTTCCACCACCTCCATCACTCGGACCGGAACAGAATGTGGGCTGCCTATTGGGTATTCGTGTCACATGCTGTCGTCAATCCCACTACCTGTGTGCAGTAGTTGGTATTACCGTAGTCTTGGCTCTGTTCGGCCTGTTAATATTACAGGAACAAAGGGTTCTTGTGCAACCGACCAATGTCGATCACCGTGTGTGGCGTGAGCGAACTACAAATCAGGTCTCCAAAACCGTCGGTCAGACTGCTACGCTCAGATTGTCTTTGCAGTTGTCCGCCGCACAATTTCACTATGAGAATATTATTGAAGAACAAGCCAAACGACTCAATGGGGAGTGGTTAATGTGGACAAAAAGCAAAGAATTGTCCATGCGGCGTCGTTTGCTGAGTTACACCTCCAGGTTCAAGCATGATTTTGTAAGTCTTTCTTTAATACGAAACCCTCAAACATATAACGCACACGCACTGTACTAATGTTTGTTTTAGGCGCATAGTCAACAGCTAACGTTTCAACGTTCTTGGTAGACCTTCATCAAGTTACTCGAATCGGTTTCTCAAAGTCAGAAGCTTTAGGATGACAAATTGTGAAGCAAAAAGTTAACACAACAAAATAACATATGCAACCATGAGCTTGGTTTCGATAAGGACCAACATAACGTTTTGGGGATATGCGCCTGTCATGGGACGGTTAAAGGGAGGGGGCAAACCCGAATTTGACAATACTGTGCTGCGTCGAGACCAGAAAGATAGCATTACACCATGTCATCCAAAATTCAGTTCACTCTGTCTGAAAACCGATGGATTTTCGAAGTATCCTCCGCACACAGCAGAAACTACCATTACAGGATCATGTTTTAGTTTTTGAATGATCCTTGGTTTACTTTGCCTTTTGTAGTATTCCAGCACGTGCTTTGATCCGCTGCTCTAACTAGTGGGATGTTGTAGAAACCTCGTAACGGCCTAGTTGCCATACTTTGTTTCACTGATCAGTCAACATAACTTAGTCATTTATTTGCTGTGATTCACATGGTTGCCCGTACTAAATCGAGTCTTTGAGACATGTGAATAACTCGCTTCCCGGTGGTGGTGACGTGTAAACGAAAAAGCTCTAAAATTGAAACATCCTTCTTTGTCTGTTTAAACTTAGGAGAATTATCCACTGCCAAACATTGTTCATAACGGCTTTATTAACTGATTGCTAAAAAACCTGTATTCGCTCGAGTGATATCGGTGAATACAGTACTGTGCCCACGCTATAGTCAACTACAACGAGAGCGAACTACCAACTTTATAGCGTTTATGCCCAACTTAAAGGTGTTGTTCAGTTAGGCTATATAGGAATGACTTTCACGTCAGGAAAATCGCTGCCTTATTCTCCGAATCGAATAGACATTGTCTCTCTTCTTTCATCTCTCGGCATCGTAAGATCCGTGGGTGGCTGGGTGTGGAGTATCGTTACTGATCAGTGCAAGAATTGCATCGGTAATTGCGAGAGAGGAATCAATGAGGATGATTTTCAATGATCAAACCAAACTCCTGACAAAGTGCTTTGTCGAAAACACATGCATTTGTACCTTCCGGATGCATTACTGATGACGGAATCATTTGAACAGTTTTGCCTGAGGGCCACAGAGCAATTATATGGCATAATCAAGATCGAAAGCCCAATTGTCCAGGGATAGATTGAATAAATGTGGTTGCTGTGTTGTATGAGATTGGTCGATTAGGCTAATCTGAAAGCCCTACGTGCTTCTGTGTGTGTGTGTGATAGAATCCCATTTTTGTGCTCTATTTCCGCTGATCACAAGTTCATCGTGCCAGAAAATCGCCCAACTTTTCACACCAAACTCGTTTCTCGGTCGAGCTAGGGGGGGAGGGGTTGTGAATCGTCAACCCCAGTGAGGACACGAACGCGCGAGCGCGCAACCAAGTAGGCAGGCGTGTAAATCCGACACACACACACACATTCGCCTCGTGAGGATCATCACATCAGACTAATGATTCTCATCCCATGGGAGGCGAGAGGGAAAATAAGCGTGGCCCAAATAAACTTGTCATCAATGGCCTGAAGCAACTAAGGCTTAGTAAATTTGCAACCACCTCACACACAAACACATCGGTCCACGGAATGACCGTATTGTACCTATAGTGAATAAACCGAACTGAATGTGAACGAGCCACTATAAGCACATACACACACGAATAGATGTATATGTGAGCGAGTCACGCCCCACAGTTCTTAAAATCCGACCTACTGCAGCGGATGGGCAAATGCTCGAATATTGGTGTGTGTGTGTGTGTGTGTGTGTGTGTGTGTGTGTGAGCACAAAGGCCACTCCATCCCTAACAGCTCTGTTGAATATGGTTCGTACACGTAGTTTCTGTGGCCACGTTTAAACTGTTTTCCTCGTCTCGGGCACAAATGATAAACGAATCGTTGTGAACCGTAAACAGAACAGAAAGATCTCTGAAATAATAACCAGGATGATGAGTTCGTTCAAACCCTCGTGGTACATCTCCTATTATTTTATTGAGTAAATAATCTAACTACGTAAACCCACACAATTTGAGCCATTCGAATTTTTCGTCCGTTAGAAGAAGTGGAAAAGCGGGCGGGTCTGGGGATAACGGAATTTACACTAGATGTTTCTGGAGACTGTTTAGCAACGATACTCTATGTGATGTGTAAGTTTCAACAAAGCCGTCTGTTATTTCATCTTTTTCTATGTAACTACCTCATGTTATCATCGCTGATGGTGACTACGAAACCGCTAATGTTTTTCGGATCAAACAAGCAAACAAAATCTCTGTCACATGTCTGACGGCAAATCTGTTTACCCATTTCGAAAGTGTCCGTGTTCTGGTTTCATTAAAGTAGCCGTGTTCAGCCATGTGAAAAAGCAAATACTACTCTTGTTTTACACGTAATCCCACTCTGTCCCTCTAGGCTTCTTCACCACTCATATCCTTTTGTGCAAACACTGCTGGAGTTTGAGGAGCATGCCTGCCCTAGTATCCTGATCTCTAACTGTACAAACCCTTAAAATCGTCCCTTTCATTTTGTCGTACAACTGACTGATATTCGTTTTGATTTAGGCTGACCCCTGTCAGTCTGTCGGTAGTTCTTTGTTCTCGACAGCCATGGGCTGTCTGTCCTACTGCTATATGGTATCTAACTACCCATCCATCTATCTGCGCATCTACATTCATCTGTCAGACGATCTCCGTTCATATCTCTGCAATCACCAGCACGACAGAAGGCGATCGTTACTCGATCAGTCTGTCAGTCAACCAATCTTCTAACCAGTCCGTAGGCGAAGCAGCCAATGGCGTACTGTATGAACATAGAGTATTGTGAAGGCGTGGTTGTGTTTACAGGCAGTCATTACGGGTATACAGCCAGTGAGTGAGAGAGAAAGATAAGGGATGTAAATTTACCCGTCAGTTGCATCATTTATTCTTCGACGCACATGAGCGCAGATGACATTTTCAACTAAATATTACGACATTTCAGGACTGCCTTAGAAATACCCAGGGGATAAGATTCATTGGTGTTTAGATTACTCTAAAGAAACAGCTAATCTGGTTTGCCCTGTACTTATCCCAATAAAGGGTTTTTCGTCTTACACATATGGATTTAGGAGAGTTCGTATAACGGTCCGCAAGCAGTTGCCTGATTTCACGTACGCGTAAAACCTTGGTGCTTATGAGGGCACAAATGTTGTTTATATGCAGCTGAGAGGGTCGATATGGATGTAGCGGTATATATGTGGATGGATGAATGGGTGAACTTAGGGATGAAAGGATGCCTGTCTCGATTGACCGATAAATAGAAGGTTTAATGAATGCTAGTTTTTATAATCCCCGTATAACACGGATTGAAGCATTCTCCAAAAAGTTCACGACTTCAAGGAAAATTTGCTAACAGTTAGATCGTCACTACGATCTTCGGTCCCAAGACATACGGACTTTGATATCCCTAGTTTTTTCTACAGAACTCAATGAACTAAAACTGTCGTTTGTGCATTAATTTGAATTGTCAACACCGGTTTCTGTGGAATTCAATTTCATCCATGGACAATGCACATGCCTTTATACTCTGCTTTGTCAACTTAGAGAACAGCCAAATAGCTCCGATATTTTCACATATTATCAACTAATCAACTTAAAGAGAAAATTTGGACTCTGCCGTTTCTCATATAATCTATCTGTTCGGCAGATGAATTGATGCATTTCACCGCACAAATAATTTAATTTGTATTCCGCTCGAATTGGCTGGAACTGCTGCTTTGGTTTGTGTTGATCTCATTGACTCATATGGATAACTGTCCTTGCGATATGGTTGCATTGTTTCCCTATGAACTGGAAAAAATATCTTAACGGCCTTTCGATTTCAGTTGGATTGTGATTTCACATACTGACGCTTAACTTGTAATAAAATACAGAGTCATATTCATGTTTAACTTACAACTATCTTGTGAATTGTCTCACATCTGTTGTGTGATCTCCGATCGGGTTCAGTTCATTAGATTGGTGCAACATTTTGTCTGATTTACATGGCAGATAAAAGCGAAATTGCATTCAGTGTTATTCAGAATAGCACTCAGTTTTCGCAGAGGCTCGTTTACTTGTAACCATCATAAAAACTGCAAGGTTTTGCGCTGAGTTCTCCGGAATCAGTTAATAAACTTGTCATGCATAGGCACATGCACACACAACTCGTACGAACACACGCAGATACCCGTGGGGAGACTTTGATCGATCGCCCAAAATGAAAGTTCGAACAGACTGGTGGGCATGGATCACTCGGGGTGGGGACGGTAAAGTACACACGAACAACAAACAAAAATGAAACTCCGGGAAAGGGCAATCAGCTAGGCTAGACAGTTTTATGCCTGAAGGCGTAACACTGTGAAAACGTAAACAGCACACTGGATCTGTGTGTTCTGTTCATATATGAGCGAAACCTATAAATGCCAGGTTCCCCTATGAAAAGTCGGTTGGTATGTTTGCATGTGTGTGGAACGAAATACTCACTGATGCGAGAGGGCAGTCAGAAATATCCTTTCACATGATATGCGTTCTCTACAGTGTACATCAGCAAACCACCGAAACTCGTGGAGATTGGCGTTCGCTCGAAATCCACTCTGCTCTCCAACCGGGACGGTAAAACCCGGATATGAGTTGAGAGGCAACGAATGTGGATTGCTTTCCCTATCATTAATCATACCACGTCGAGATGCCGACTGACGGACAGGGAGGTTTGGAGTTGTGTGTGGGGGGGGGGAAGGCCGGTGAGTAAACTGCATAACGGTAACATCCCGAAATAAATATTCCCTGACGAATGCAAAGTAACAGTTTACTACCACGTGTCTGTGTCGGAGAGATGCGACGTAAAATGATGCACATCACGATCA